GGCCACGGGTTCGGATCCCATATAGGGATGGCCGGTTCGCTCTCTGGGTGAGCGTGGTGCTGACAACACCAAGTCAAGGGTTAAGATCCCCTTACCGGTCATCTTTAAAAAAAAAAAAAAAATATGTACAAAGGATTGGTACAGAGCTTAGAAGATGGATACAAATCATGCAAATAGTTCAAATAGAAATATTTGAAAATAAGTTTTCAAATAACAAATTCTGTCCTAATGTTCCAGTCTTAATCCTCCAATGGGGAAATAGTTTAGACAATTTTCTTTTTACAGAAACTAAAGTGACACAAAGTAGCAAATTTTGCTAGAGGGGTGTATGTATACAGCACTTTCGTGTGTTTTTTGTATGTGCTAGACACCAAATAAACAAATAAGCAAGTCTTTACCCTGTTCCTCATGGATCTCAAAGACTTTGTACTTTTATTCTTTGAAGAAGTCTTTATAAAGTTTCCAGTTATGCAGCATGGAGGGTGGGAACTCTTCAAAGAGAATTTTATAGGTTTATTTTCTGCCATCTGGAAGTTGTTCATTTAAGATACAAGTGAGAAGCTTTATTTGTATATTGTGAGACATTATATAAATAAGAGACAAGTGATATCTACAAATACACATGAAGCACATAGCATGGTGCTTGGCATATAATAAGCTCTGAATAAATGGTAGGTATTAGCAAGAAGAGTTAGGAAGTTCAGCTCAGGGAGTCCTCTGCTAATAACACTAATTCCAATTTTAGATAATAAGTGATAACGATCACAATGCCTTATTTCTGCACAATGCTTGAGTTTACAAAGCCTTTTTTAGTGTATTTAACAAAATAAACAGTCCTCAAAAGTTCAGGGGAAAAAAGCTCGTTTTTCACTAGAGAAAGAGAGTACTGATTTAGAGTTTAAAAGGATGGTTCCAAGTCTGCAGGTGTTGTGATTCTCATTATTAATAAGAAAACTTAGTCTCTCAATGAGTGAATTATTTACCTGACATCGCAGAGCCAAGAGGTGGCAGGGCCAGGCACCAGACCCTGGATCTTCAGTGCCGGCTGCCAGTCCTGCAATGGTCCAGCCCCTTCCTCAGTGACCCCATCACCTCATGGTTCCTCAAGCTATAAATGAGGGGGTTAAGCATAGGAGTAAGGACTGTGCAGAACACAGAGACCACCTTGTCATGGCTAGGGGCCCGGTAGCACCTGGGTCTCAGGTAGATGAACATGGCTGCCCCATAGAAGAGGGAGACAGCTGTCAGGTGGGGGGAACAGGTGGCCAGAGCCTTTTTATGGGCCTGAGCAGAGCACATACGGAGCACAGTCCCCAGGATGCGAGAATAGGAGGCCATGATGATGGAAAAGGGAAAGAGAAGCATAAAGACACAGCAAACAAATACCACCTTCTCAAAAAGAGATGTGTCTACACAGGCCAGCTTCAACAAAGATAGCACCTCACAGAAGAAGTGGTTTACCTCCCTCAAGCCGCAGCAGGGAAAGGTCATTACTACCACCGTCTGGATCAAGCCATCTATTATCCCAGAGGTCCAGGAGCTCCCAGCAATCTGGAGACAGATCCCCTGATTCACGAGGATGGGATAGTGAAGTGGGTGGCTGATGTCCACAGAGCGGTCATAAGCCACGAGTCCCAGCAAGAGCCCCTCAGATCCCACAAGACAGACGAAGAGGCCAATGTGCATGCCACAACCCCCAAAGCAGATGGATGTCCTGCCAGATAGGAAGTTACCTGCCACCTTCGGCACATTGGCACAGACCAACATGAGGCTCATGAGAGAGAGCCGGCTGAGGAAGAAGGGCGTGGGTGTGTGAAGTCGGGGATCCAGGCTGATGAGGCGCCGATGAGGGCGATGGGAAGAACGTTCCCAGAAAGGGTCACTGTGGGGCTGGCCTGTGGCTCACTGGGGAGAGTGTGGTGCTGATAACACCAAGGCCACGGGTTCGGATCC